TAAGTTTTCTCTTTTTCGTTTTAACAAAATTGACAACCATTTTGTGGAAAATATAATTGTTTAGAGTGTGATATTTGTGTTTGGTCAAAAATGAAAAAGTCTAAATAATATATTTTTATTCTATTTAATTTAGGCAGGAAATGCATAAAGAATTTAAACACGTTTACAATTATATCCTTATAATTTAAAATCTATGAGATTCAATGATAAATTTAACTGTGTAAAAAGAATTAAAACTACTAGGTAAGGTAATAAATCTACCAACAAATTACATAACATATATATATATATATTAACTATTAATAATTTTTGTAGCATAATAAAATCATTAAAATGCACATTAGTTGTTCAAATAAGTTATAAGCCTACAACAATTGTATTATTATGAGTAAAAAAAAGGGCATGCTAGTCCACTTAAAATAATATATAGGGGCAATTAAAACAATCACTAGGTATCGATCACTAGGTAATATTAGATTTTTCTCATTTAGATGGGATCATATTCTCTGAGTATTTTTTTTTTAAAATATTTCTAAATCTTATTTACAAAAATAAGGTTGTGTTAATCATATTTGTCAAACACAATGAAGTTTTTGCTATGTGAATTAAATAATTTACACGTGTTAATTTTTTTTAATACTAAATTCATTAATAATTTTACAAAATTTTAAAAAGAAATATCATTTACAATCTATATATTTTATTAGTTATGATTATCAGATAAAATCAAATACTAACAGACTCAACCCTATTGGCTCATCAACAAGATCTAGAAACAATTACTCTAGTAAAGTCAAAATAAATAAACCTTCAAAAATCAATAACCCATGTTCCCGGTGAGAAGTTCTGTCGCAAACAGCATAGTGCATGAGGATGCCTGCAGCAACTGAAACATTGAAAGAGTCTACCATGCCTTTCATAGGAATACTACGACGCAAATCTGACAATTCCGGAGCCTCATCACTTATACTCCTGCAAGCAGCGACTCAACCATCATTACTAAAGTTCAAGAGATCTAAAATGTTCTAGATTTCTTTTGTTATTGAAACCATCAATAGGAAGCTAACTAGTTAGAAAACAGTCTATATCTCATCTTTACTATATATATATATATATATTGCATCACGTGTTAGAGATAAAATTTAACAAACAAGAGCTTCATAAGGAGTTTCTAAAAGCAAGAATAATGTAGTTTTCTATTATTTTCTTCCTTTAATCTATTGCAACAATTTAGACAATCAGAGTTCAAATTGCAAAAATCTGAGGTCCAAAGGATTTTTTTCCAAATGTCAATATTAACCAGCAATATCAAACCAATGAAAAAATAAATTCCAGTAGTAGAACAAGCCCATGTTTTGATTCTTGTACCATCACTTGTGCCTTTGAAGGTGCAATTCTTCACAATTATTCCCACGACGCTTTCGTTCTCGCTGCCCTTCCCTCCCACACTTCCAACACTAAATCCCTTCCCTCCCACACTTCCAAAACACTAATTCCATGTACAGGGCCACGACACATCCATTTCTTTGATGGTCTTGGTATTGAGTCATTTCAATCTTTACATAAAGAGATTGTTAATAGAGTTATTAGTACTTGAAGGTTTATTTATTTTAGTTTTACTAGAGTAATTGTTTTTAAATCTGATTGATAAGCTAGCGAGATTAGGTCTTCTAGTATTTGATTTTATTTAGTAATTATAACTAATAAAATGGATGTTTTGTAAATGATATTTGTTTCTAAAATTTTGTAAAATTATTAGTGAATCTAGCATTAAAAAAAACTAACATATGTAAATTATTTAATCCACATGACAAAAATTACCTTATCTTTGTAAATAAGATTTTTTTTAAAAAAATAAACTCCATATTCTTTAGTTTTAAACGGGAACCATATTCCATTGTTTTGAGGGAATGTGATATACAAAGAATTCCTTAGTATTTACACTCCTTGGCAAAACAAGTGCGAATATTTTTGACATTCAAGATTACTAAGTGGAGAGAATTTGAGATTCCTCCATATAAAATGCCGGTTAAATTGTTTTCCTTTGTTCTAAGCCTTTTTTTTTTTTCAGTAAAATACAATATTGATCAAAATTTCCTAAATCAGCCAAATATTAAAAAATAAGAAATATATTTTACTTGTAACAAAAGGATATACATGTAGAAATGGCATACAGTTCTTCTTTCTTTTCTTTTTTTCTTTTTTTGTTTTGTTTTGTTTTGTTTTGTTTTTGGTGGATTGATGGAGAGCATTATGGCTCAAACATGGAATGTCTTGTCCATACTTGTTAGCACCTGATGAATAGCTAGCTCCCACCTAGTGGCGCCTAATTAAAGAGATGGGATACGTAGATTTTATGTGATAGAACACAAGATCATGCCGGCCATAGAGGAAGCAGCGTTAATGGAACAGTGTAAAGATTTATGTTTCTTTCAATTGAAAGAAAAAACCTTCAGTTTTGTTCTTTCCGTTAACAGAAAAAGACTGTTACTGTTGTGCACTTGTGCTTGTCCTGCTGGGTATGATTTGTCCCCATCTTGAAGGGTACTTGACAGAGAAAATTTCTGAAAACTAAAAGATATAAAGGGTTTACTATTCATGCACATCCATCTTTGTCATTCATCATCATTTCCGACCATTTGTTCACCTTATATTCACCTGCAATGATATTCAAATTATACAGATTATTACATTTTGGCCTCCCAATATTACCACAATTATTATTTTAATCCACATCTTCACTATTCACAATTATTATGACAATCCATAATACATTTTAATAATGGGTTATTGATTTATGATACATTTTTATATGTATGGATTTTGAAAAAAAATTTAAAACATGATTATTTTATCTTTTTTTTTAAAGTATATTATCATCATATCATCGTAGATTCTTATGATTTCTGAATAAGAGTAATGTAATTGAGTGTGTGTATATATATATTATTTTTATTTGTTGACTTTAATATATTCCTGACTTAGATTGTTCTTTAATTTTTTTATGCTATGAATCCTTGATTTACTGGGTATGATCATAATGTGTGTGTGTGTGTATCATTTATTTTATTAAAAATTAGCTATGTATCTTCACACATAACACCAATTATGTGTTATTTAATTATTTTTTCATATTCTAAAATCAAATTTTCTCATATAAAATAAGTTAAATAATATTTTGAAAGAAGCTGTCCAATTATTTAAATACAACATTTTATATTAATATTATTGATTATTTTGTTAATAAATATATATAAATCAAATTTGCATACTTTCAAAAAAATAATCTTCCTATAGACATTAAATAAGGATAAAAATATTTTTCAATTTTTATGTAACTTTTTATATCAATTGTTGTTTTATTTTTTTATGCAATATTATGAAAAAATTATTAAAATGTATTTTTTAACTTTTATATTTAATTCTTTATTTATATTATTGCAAGTTTTTATTTAATAATAAATAAATTAGGAAGAAGAAATTAATTTTTCAATAAAAATTTTAAAAATATATATAAAATTAAATAATTTTACCTATTCAGTCTGACTCAAACATAACGCGAGCAACCGACTCTTTTAGCTTTATGGCTAGTGAGGGTGCTTTTTGTTTGATGTAAATTTAGCCGAGGGTGTCCTTTATTATGTACCAACTTGCTCATCCATATCTTGGACGCATTAGCTCAATTGGGAAGGGCGACATTTCGTTGATAAATCATTGTCATGGTGGTATTTTAATAGCGACTCAATCCCACTTTCTAGTATATGCAAAACCAGAAAAGAAAATTGTTTGTTGATAAACTACCTGGCTAGCTAGCTAGATGTAATACGACTTTAGCTACAAAGAATATAACAGTAAATTATTAAGGCTTTCGAATTAGCAAAAGAAGATGGTTTGGGTATAACTAGGAGAAAATTAAGCATGTTAAATTCTTGAGTCCTGACAAAACATAAAAAGATAGACCCCAAGTGAAAGGGCCAACTTCTGATGCGAAATCTGCAGCATATTTCATCAGTAATTTGATAGTGAATATATATATATATATATATAAACTTGTGGTCCTGCGGGATCAACTCTTCTCCAGATAATGAAATGGTTTCCATCAGGAAAAAAATAAAATAAAATTGTTCCTTTTTTAGTAATTAGAGACCTGCACAACTGAAACTTGCCCTAACAGGCGACAAAGTTAAGAAGTTGACCAGACTCGAGGGGTAAAAGAACAGAGGCTCTTTTGTTCAAAAGTTGCATTTAGCATAAGAATCCTACTTTTTTTTTTTTTCCCCCTTGGCTAGGAGATTTTCTGGCTTGCTCCTTAATGATATTTCTTACTTTGTATAGATATCTCGTTTCAATGCTCCAAACAAGTGTTGAATGAAACAGCCTATCTAAAGCAGGATCACTCTTTTTTATAGTAATCAGTTTCTTTTAGGTACTTGTAAAAAAAAAAAAAAAAAAAGCCTACACTTGTTCTTGATGTTTATTTATAAGCATAGTGGTTATTAATAATGAACATTAATTTAGTTCAGTTACTGTTTTCTGCAGGATAAGCTAAAAAAAAATATGATAGAACTTTTGTCTTGTTTCGTAGACAGTACAGATTAGAAAAGCTAGCGGTACAGCATCCCCATGATATAGAATAAAAATCATGGCTGCAATTGATCCTGCCTAGGCGGCATTCCTGTGAAGAAAAACTTATTGTTCAGGCAAACGCTAATTTGATTATTGAATAACAAGGTTGATATATACACTCCTGTAATAAACATAATCAACTGATTTACTCTCCCAACTAGCTAGCTTGGACTCTTAGATATCCATTACTTATAAAAAATACATGGGGTTTCTGCAATATTGCCAACACATTGTCAAATGCCCTTGACTATTGCATCATTAGATTTTGAATCTAATAGGACTTCATCTAAAATACAATCCTCGACAAGTGCATAAAAAAAGGACTAACTGATTTTAGAAAGTAGTGTTCAGAAACCATATTGCCCAGATGTCAATTATAACCATGAGAAGTCTTTCTTCCAGTTTACTTCATCATTACTGAAATAAAACCCATCCTCTCTCACCAACCAAGAGCACTTCCTGAAAAGGCTGCAACGCTGAACATCCCTTGGAACCTTAAAGGCATCAAATTTTCTCCTCACTGCGTCCCACTTCATGGTGCACAAGAAATGAGTAGTGCCCCAGAAGTTGGTCTTGAGCCTCCAACCGAAATCATCACCTTCCTGGAGGGCACGTCCACCGAGATCATCATTGTTTGACGAGCACCATATGACTAGTGGCAGTGATGAGTTGTTTGTGAATCCATTGATGACACGAACATCGTACTCTAGCCCACAGAAATATTCAGGTTGATATATTGACAGGAAAATGATGCATGTGGCAAGGCTAACGACGAGAAAAATTTTAGTGACAACCTTCATGTTGTGATCACTTGTGAGATGAAAATATTCTAGAAGACTTTAATATATAGTACATGCGCGAGCGCAGAGACACTATATGAAAGAAATGTCCACTTACATATATAAAATAAAAAGTTTTACATGAATTCTATACCCTAGTTTTAAAATGAAAACTGGCTATTGAAGAAAAAGGTTACTATAAAGGTAACTGAGAACGAAAATCGGAAGGATATACAGATTTGTAAATAATAGCTAAGAGACAACAAAAATGGAAATATAATTAAGGAAGAGAAAGTATGAAGTATCATATTAAGTATATATAAGCCATATTAGGTTGAATAGAAATCAAAGGTACACACAATTCGTTTAAAACTTTTTGTTCTATACGTGCGTAAGTGATCACTTGTGGCTATATGTTTTTTGGGGCTATATATTACTATTTATTCCTCCTCTATACCTAGAAGATGCAATTTAAAAATGCGCACCCATATACACACGTATATATGGTTAATGGTTGTTATGTATAGCATAATCTAGATGGTGTCCTGAGCAAAACAAATGGAGAGTCACAGGTTCCAACCAGTTCTAATTTGGAATCGGTTTGAATATATTCGCAGGTTTGTGCGTTTTGCTCCTCTGTTCCTAAAGTGAAATGTAATCTGCCTCGTGTGGGCTTCGTAATTCGGTGAAAATTTACTTTTATAACATTTCACAACCTTAATTTATTTATGTTTATAGCTGGTAGAAATTTTAGGAAATGAGAAATTTGTGAGGAGGACGGGGTTGGTGATTTTTCTGTTTTTTTAGAAAACAGAAAATTAAAGAAAATGCATTTATTAATTAAAAATAAAAAAGGTTTTCTTTGAAAACATCTGTTTTCTAATTCTTCAATTATCTAGAAAACTGAAAACATCAACATAATTGTTTCTCAGGATCTCCACAATTAAAAAATAAATAATAAAAAAACAAGGGCCTTGTTTGGTTCACCTAATATTTTTATACTATTTTCTTAATTATTTTGAAAATAAGCCAAACAAAATCCTTATTTTCTATTTTGAAAATTTTATACTTAGAAAATATGTTTTCTTTAAATTTTCATGGTGAATTTTTTTTTAAATAAATAAGAAATTAGAAAAGGAAACTAAAAAAAAATTATTTTCTAAAAGTAAATACAACCTAACTTTTTTCTTTTCTTTTTCTTTTCTTTTCTATTCACTTGAAGATCTGGGCATGTTGAAAACCTGTTTGATAAAGCAAAACTCATTTGGGACCCACCGAAAGTTGTGATCTAGACCTAAGTTTTGCAATAGCAAGAAATCTATGCTTCCGGGCAAGTTGAGGAGAGACTAGAGGGAACAAAATTGTGTTATTAGTGACCTCTGTAGAATTGAACTAGTGGAAATGCCAATTTTTAAAACCGATAATATCCTCTTGGGAATCATGTATTAACTCTAGAAATTTACGACTTATTTTTCATCTAATTTTCTTTTTAATGAAATCAAATTTCAGTCTCATCTTGAAACAAAACATGGTTTTGTTCGCAGCTATTTGCCTTGCTTTCTTTCTTGTCAAATTCTATTTTAGTTTGTAATTAAGTTCTTATAACCTTTTTCTTTACAAGTAAATTCAGTCTCTATACCTTTTGGTTACAAACATGGTCAGACGTAAAATTAATTTAGCAGCAAAAAAATTGTTTTAATTTGATTAAAACCAAAGTTCATTTTTCATGATCCAAATATAACTAATCATAATTATGTTTTAGTAATACTAGATCTGAGTTGATTTAGCTTAAAATGCAGTCCAGTCCAGTAGTTTAACCCAATGAGTAATAGACTATAGTCTTATCCTCTCTCTCTCTCTCTCTCTCTCTCTCTCTGTATATATATATAATCTTTTTTTTTTTTTTTTTGGCTTTTCGATTTTGGTTTTTGTTTTTGTAACCTCAAGATCTTGTTGAGCTATGGTTAAGTAGTCAGCTAGAGATCCAACTAAACATTACATGTAGTGACAGCCTATCTAAATTTTTTATTTTCCAAGCATAATCTGGTGCCAAGCATGGGAAAGCAAAACCAAAAACTGCCAACAAATCTTATTTGCACATAACAAAAAATTATTTTAATTAATTAACGACTAAATAAATAAAAATGTGAAACATAAAAATTCAATGCTGAATGCTGATTGAGAAACTATAAATAAAGAACTCTTTAATCCTTGCACATCAGGTTTTCTCAAACAAATATGATTTAATGAAAATTGTATAATTAAGCATTAATACTAGTTTCTGCTAAATTTATAACATTTGGAGTTTCGAATTATTGTGATTATGGGTCCATTACATGAGTTTACTCTTTCAAATGCTATTCTAGAGAGTGAGAAGTGATTCCATTTTCACAGCAGCTTAAATTTGTAATTTTGAACATCAGAGAAGAGGAGTCAAATAAACATACCTGCTCAGCACTTAATTCTTTTATTTACATTCATTCCTGCAGTACCTATACAATTTGAAGTCAGAGACTTGGTCCTTAGTCTTCCGTAGACAATTTTCCATTGAAGAGCTAAAAATGGAACTTAACCATTACCAGCCAAGCCAGTTAAGAGAGCAACGACATCTTCAAGACAAGAAAGGTGACTCAAGAGCTTGTCGCGAAGTTCGGAGGATTCAAAGTGGTTTCCCTGCCACTGGGAAATACCATCACCAATAACTTTCAGACCACTCTGGAGTAATTCGACCCCCCTGCTGATTCCATCAGGGAGTTTCCTTCTCTTGTTTGATACATTATCAACATCAATCTCCATACTTTCACATTCCGTAGCTTCTATATGCATACTTGAAATCTTCTGAACCATTTCTTTCAGCATCCTACCTTCCTTCACAAGCAACTCAAGCTGCTCCATGCTAGGTGTGGCGGTAAGAAGAGCTCTTTCCTTCTCCAGAAATGCCTTCAACTCAGACATAAACCTCTCCTCGCTTGCTTCATTTCCTGTCATCAAATCATAAGAAAGGGATGCATTTTGTGGCACAAATCTCCATAGCTGATTGCAAGTAGTACGAGCAGCAAAATATCCAAACGCTGCAATTGCAAGATGAACAAGTGCCCAATGCCGCTCCTTGAATAGCATGTGATACAACTCCCACAAAGCAGAGCTTTTTGCACAATCATCACTCTCTATCACCTCCATGTCTCCAAGTCCTCCCATAAAAAGAGCAAGATATGGTTTGCACTGATACAGTTGGGTTCTTGATGCTGCTGGCCCTGAGACAAACAGGTTTTGAAGTTCCAATATGACTCCCTCCATCTCATCAGATTTATATAGATGCTTCATATTTGAAACGATCCTCAATGTTTCACTTAAAAGCTTATGACATTGTTCCTTTATTATTTTCTCCACAGGGTTTCTGAAGTTACGAATTATAGCAACTAAAAACTTCAAGGTCTTCATGTCAACATCAGATACACAAACCTGCCTACAAAACATTAAAGCTCCATCATTATTTCTATCAATAAAAGAAATAGGGATAAGGATACGTCAGTTTAGGAATTCTTCACATATCTATGATTTAAACTGAAGGGTCATTCAGAAAAGTTTGGTGATACCATTGGCAAGGCTATGGTAACAACAAGATAGAACACTTTGAAATAAAAGACAGAATCAATCATCACTTAAGAGTGACAGAAGCACTGCAACAGCAAAGGGGGATGGGAAGCTCAGATTTTAATCCTATATGTGAAAAACTACTAAAAAGCTAAAAATGGTAGAGGCAATGCTTCTTGGTAGTTTGGTCAGATTGCTAAATGCAAGTGAAAGGATTCCTTTTTCATTTTCTCAGAACAGCTCGTGCATTGTATGCAAATAAAAGAAACTGGTTACTCACTGTGCCTGCAAGGAAGCAGATAGAGCATGAACTGGAATCCCAAATGTATCGGAACTACATGTAGCCAACACTTTGTCATCAAAACTCTCTATGAAGCCAAAATAGTCTGTAATGATCTTCTCTTTTGCAGTGCTTCTGATGTTATCTGATAGTGAATTTAGAGGAAACCCTTCCAAGAGCAAGGCTACATACATAATTGATGACAATTGAGATCTTCCATCACCAACAACAGAGCTGTAAACACAGTCTGCCATAGATTGTGTACCATTAGCAAGCAAGCAGATTATTCTTGCCAGTTTCCTCAGAGGAGAACCTGGAATAAGAACTGATTCTGGAGATTCCAGGAGCTTCATTAATGAGCAAAGTTTATCAATAATGCCATTCACCATGTCCATTTCAGCATAGCGTACCAAAAAGCACCAAAGTTCCATTACAATCTCCCAGCAGAGGAAATGTGGATGGAAAAGATTCTCAAGCAGGAAAGCCTCTAATTCTGCCCAAACAAAACTTGAAGACACCACAATCATGAAGGTTTTTAGCGCATGCAAAAGAGCAGAAAACATAGGCTGCCAAACCAATTCCAGTGTTTTCCCTGAACCATATGGCACGGGAATCTGCAAATCAAGAATGAAAGAGTATACATCTTCATCTACTAGCATATCCAGAAACCATCTAAATTTTCTAGTAATCTTGATCTTTATGTCTTCTTCAAGAACCATAGAGTACCTCAGCAAATTATGAAACAATGCAACCCTGCCAAGCAACAATAATCTTGCTTCAGGCATAGCTTCACAGCTCACAGAAAATATTTCAACCATCGAAGTCATGCAATAAAAACTAATTGAATCTCCATTTGTAGAATTTGAGCAGGACTCATCACTGAACAACCAGTCCAGAAGTTCAAACTTGAGCTCTCGTTTCACTTCAGCTGAATTGAGCAAAGAATTCAGCAAATCCATTGATGTCTTCACCAAAAGTTCTGAGAACACTTCACTAGCAGTGTTCAAAAGTTTTTCATAGCTCAGTAAAATTCTGAAGGTTGAGATCATTAGGACACAAAGGGTCACCTCCTTGAACACCAAATATGCTTGACATGGATAGAGGGAAGATATTTTCACTGCAGTGGTAAGGTAAAACTTGGATGGAA